TACTGGCAGGGGATCTGCCGACAGACATTGAGGCAGCTTGTCTCCCCTTCCCCTCAGGAAGTTTTCCTTCTGTTCTGAAAAACCTTGTGCTTGCCCAGGTCCTGCTCTGGAGCAGTGAGCCATGGCACTAGAGGCTCTTCAGCTTCTGGGTTTTTACACCTCTGCTTCCAGATTTCTCACTGATCCCGAGAAGATGAGATAGCAGTGCTAATTAATCCGATTCCAGAAGCAGCAGGTTTCCATGGGAGGAGGGCAGCTAGCTGCATCTGTGTCAGAGAGAGCGGAGTGTGGGAGGTAAGAAAGACATACCTGCTCAGATCCCACTTCTTAGGCTGCTGAGAGCCAGCCAGCTACAAGCTGCTTTGTGAGTCCCTCCTGATCCAGCAGTAAGATTTCCATGCATTCTCAGGAAAAAGAGGCCATGTCTGTGCCACAGACAAGCTCAGCTCAGTACGTGGAGCTGGAATGGGTATTTCTGCTGCTCCCTCATTTAGGAGAGGGCTACAGCATCACCCACTCCTCTCTCATGCTGGTGAGTGGAAAGCCCTGCTGAAGAACTGAGTGTGACTGAAATGCTGTGGGAGCTGTGTCCCCATCAGAGATTGCAGCCTTACAGCCTTCCTGTTGTGAATCTGGCATTTTCTGATGTCAGTAAATTATAGCAGTGAAAAAGCAAGACCTTTAGATCCATCAGAGTGATGCTGGGTAGCACCTGGAGCGAGACACTGTGACCTGTGTGACTGACACATGTGCAGATGGGACTTTGTGCCTCTGCCTCCTCTTCCTGGAAGGTCAGAGTGCCATGGGCAGAGCTGGCTGAATACAGACACTTCACCTGGAGCACTTGTAACGTTTTTTTTTTAACCTTAATTGTACTTTTTTATGTTGGAGTGGCAAGAAGTGGAGACAAAACAGCTGCCTGTGTTTGGCAAGAAGGCCTGGCAGCACAGGCTGGCATTGCTGGGTTACTTTTTGCTGCCCACAGAACCACAACCAGCAAAGAACCACAACTGCTGCTTGGGCTGCTGAGAAAGCAGCTCACGTGCACCATGGGGAAGAAATTGTCCTCCTCCTTCTCAGTGATGAACTGGCAGCTTATGGGGAGACTGTGGAGAGGGGCCTCAAGGAGAGTGTGTTTTGATCAGTCCCAGGAGCAGTGTGCACACAAACATGCTATTTTTGAGCTGCAGATGGAGGAGACAGCACAGCCAGCCCTTGTCTGTGTCCTTCCTCCTGCTCCAAGGAGCAGGTGTGGGGAGCAGAGCTGGAATCTGCATGGGAATCCTGCAGCTGAGCACAGAGTGGTACCAGTGCCCACAGTGACGTAAACTG